GCCCTACAATTATAAGTTACTTTAAAGAGGACAATTCAATAACGGAAAAAGATTTTTTAAAATTTTAATATTTGAATAAGTAGTTCCAAGAAACTGAAGCAGAATTATATACTTGTCGATGGAAAAACTTCATATTAATTTATTTTAAAGCTAAGTTTTGAAGCAAATGAAATTTTTTCATTGACAAGTATTCAATTAATTATTTATGCCATTATTTTCATGCATGAAAAAAAGTAACATGAAACTTTAAGTTCAAAACAAGGGTGCACTATCTATAGCCTGTGGGCCAAAAATGGTCTACGAAGTCTTTTTTAACTGGGCCCTTGAACCATCTAATAGATAGATCAATAAAAATATAAAAGAGAAAGAAAAAATAGAAGAAATCTTTTTCGTCATGCTCTATAACAGTAAGTTACTCATCTGGCCTACAGCCTTTCTCAAATTATCAGAATATAACTTCATTATGAATGTTCAGTTTTTGGATTGCAATGAAATGAAGATAATTTAATTAGTAAAGAAAAGAAAACAGAAAAAATTCCATAAGTTGATAAGATAAATAAAAAAAAATTATGATTTCAAAATTTCATCAACAATCATCACAACTATTTAATACTGTATTATTAACAAATTTTGCTTTCTAAATCAGGGGTCTGTCCAGGGTAGATTTACTACCGTTTAGCGGCACATTCACAAATTCAACTTTAGGAAAAACGTTTCACAAAATACTTTCAATAATAAAAGTTCTCATGCAAACCCTGTTCTCGTTGCAGTCTAGAAAAAAGAGAAGCCAGGTGTCTATTACGAAAAGTAGCACATGTTTGGTCAGATAGTGCAATGTGGTAAACCTAACCGGTCGCTCACACCATATCAAAGCGAGCTTCTTTTTCAGCTGAATTTTTTAAAATGAAACGAGGGTCTAACTCTGTAAAGTTTACAGGAAGTCAAAATTGGAACATTATTCTAAATGTTCGAACATTATCTTCACTATTAAAAATTTATTCTAACAGACCTTTATTTTTTATGAAACTTCTTTCTCTATGAAACCCTTTTCTGTATGACCTAGTCGAAAATGTTCTCATAATGAATATAGCTTTTAGTGCTAGCACTGTGCTAGTTTTATTAAATTCAAGCTGAAATTTAACTATAGACAATGATTTTTATGGAATTTTAAATTTGGATACAATTTTAAGAACACAATTTTACAATAGCAAAATTATCTTTTCTATATGGGGAAAAATATATAGAAATTTACCTGTCATAGATGATTTTTATTTGAAGTAACAATTTTTGAAAATATTTTCTTACTTTATCATATTTCTGTGTTGATTTTTTAATATATAATTTTTAATTTTCACAAAATAGGTACCTCTCAAAAAAACCCAGACTGACCCTTGTAAATAATAGCTGCCTTTTTTTATTACTTATAAATTCACCATAATTTGCTTTGTAATCAAAACTATTTACATCATTTTTATTACCTGTATTAAGGATTAATAATACATTTGCAACTCATTCATGTAACAGAATCTAAACACTCCTTGCATTTTCACAATTACAAAACTATGTTAATGTTGGAACCCTATCACTGTAATTTTTGTGGCTAGCTACCTAAGTACAGTTGTGTACCTCCGGTTTAAAAGTAAGATTACTAGAAGTGCTACTATCTCAGATTCCTTTATTATACAGTCGAACCTGTTTATCTCGAATCTCATGGGAAAGGCGAAAAATTAGAGATAGAGAGGTTTCAAGTTATACAGGTACTATAAAGAAATTAAATTTAATTAAGAAATTTGATTAAAAGTGCTTTGTTTTTAGTAGAAAAATATAGACATTTCTTCAAATTAATTATACCACATACATCTATTTACATAACAGTTTTTTTAACATACATTTAACACTGAAAATAATAAATAAGATTTTGGACTGATAACCTTATTTGTTTCAATTATTCTTTAAAGGTTAGAAAGATCGCAAATTCCTCATAGATCCTTTTCTATAGTTCACTTTAAAACTCGTAATTATCCTTTGATCCATCGGTTGCAATTTTGAGGTCAAAATCAATTTCTATTCTTAGCTTTCTTATCTATGTTGTAAAGCTAACCCCTGATGGTCACTACTCACTTACTGCCAGAATCATTGTATTCCATTCCAGTTAAGGAAATGCAGGGATAGTGATTGAAATTCCAAGAAACACCCCCAACCTGTTCATCCTTACTTCCTGTGGATTCATGAAATTCATCTCTATCTACGAGTTCTGCTGATAAGGAAAGTTTTGACATTTGTGCTCTAATATTAGAAATTCGAGAAATGGAGGTTTTGAAAGAAAAAAAATCTAAATAAACATGGAAAATGCATTTATTTTAGGCAGTAAATGTAGAGAATTTTAAAAATTTCGAGATATAGAGGTTTTCGAGATAAAGAGGTTCGAGATAAAAGAGGTTCAACTGCATTAGAATTATGCTTTTCTTTTGTCAATTCTGCTTTTAAATTAATAAAAAGTAATAATTTAAATGTAATGCAGTTAGTTTTGTCGAGACTACAGTTTGCTAAAAAAATATATACATTTCAAAATTCCTAGGGGAGATAAAGAACTTGCAATTAAACAAAAATAATTAGATAAACTATGAAAATAAAATGTCAATTTTTTGTTTCTTTTGCTCAAAACTATAATTTTGACTTTGAAATAATTATTATAATTTTTCATTAAAATTTATATTTTAGCACATTTATTAGTATGCATTTACATATTAGAATCATATGTGTATATTTAATTAATGTTTTAAATAAAAAAAAACTTCACACAGGGTATCTGCTACATTTCAGATTTTCAAATTCATGAGTAATTCTAAGAATTTTTCATGACTTAACGAAGTTACTATTTTCTCAGACAAAAACACAACAATAAATTTAAGAAAGCATTATAATAACATTCACTGAATTGATAGGTATAACAAAAACTGTTATACTCTGCATCTTCATATTTATAGATTTTAAATTTAAAAAATGGAGTAAAGAAAGATTTGAAGAAGCAATAAAATAGCTGAAAAAAATACAAAAGCAAATAATTTTTTTTTCTGCAGAATTACATTCTAAAGATACTTTTCTTGTTCATCAGACAGGAAAGAAATACTCCTGATTTTCTGTTCTCATTTCGGAATAAAAAAAAATTTGCCAATTACTGGTTTGCTTCAGCTAGAATTTTAAATTGATAAAATAAAAATAATTATAATTCTGAAATCACAGAAGTTTAAAAGATACTTCACTCTTGAATTCCTCTTTCCTTTTTTGAAAGAACAACATAATTTTTAAAGAACAAGATAAAAGCATTTTATATTTTAATAAAATATGACTCTGAGTGGGGATCTTGTTACAAATTCAGATATTCGGAACACCATGAAATTGAGGGGGGGGGGATTCCATTTTAAAAATTAGATCTTTTGGCGACCTAAATCCATAATTTTTTTTTAAAAAAATAGATGAAATCATGACATTACATGACAAATTTTGTTCAATACCAAAATTCATGCCTTTCCATGATCTTTCATGACTTTCCAGGTGCACGGATACCCTGTTTCACATTTTTTAAGATATTGTGATTATCAACCTAGGTTTTTGACAACTTAAACCATTTTTTGACTTCCGTCATGTTATGGATTTTGGAGTCAAAAACTCAAGCTTGTCTCACCATAAAAAGTTAGGTAAAATAATAGTTTTTACAATCACATGCAGATCGTATTTCTAAACAAACAATTAAAAAGAAACTTTTTAAAAATTATGAAATTTTTAGGTTTTTATTCCTGCTAATAAATATAAAGTGGCAATTAGAAAATGAACTTGCAAACCACTTTCAGTTATAAGATTTCGCAGAGTACTTTTAAATTCAAGACTTTCAATTTGCAAATAGTTGAGTTTTATCAAAAAGATAAAACTTTGATAAATTATAATTATTTAAAAATTATTTTATAATAGTAAATTAGGGTATTGTGATTCAAAAAATTGCATTTACTAAGCTTGAAGCATTAACAATCAATCACAAATAAATCAGTTTTACTTAATAATAGTTAACTATTATACAAAAAAATATTTTTATTGAATTATGAGATTTGTATGAAAAATAGAGATGTTATATTCAAATGCAAGTAGTGTAATGTTTAACAGTCTATTTTAACAACTTTTAATTTCAGATAGACCCCATAGTATAATAGTGATATGTTATAATAAGTTTGAACAGAACAAGCAAGATTACAAAACACGGTTGATTTGTTAGATATTATAAAAATACCATCATCAGTCAGGATACATGAAAGAAAAAAAGACAGGACAAACTACAGGATTAAGATTCAGTTATAAAAAACAACTGAAGAAAGACCTGACAAATGAAGAATGAAAAGGAAAGGAATGGTAATAGAGAAGAGGGAGGGAAAGAAAAAAGAAACAGCCATAAGTGAGAGCAAAACAAAGAAAAAAAAGTGGAGAAAGACGACCAATAATGAATGAGGAAGAAAAGAAGGGACAAGTGGAGCAAAACAAAGAAAAAAAAGTGAAAAATGAAGGTAAAAACTTATAATTATTAGAAATTACAGCAAAGATTTCAAATTGTTTTGAAATAAGGTATATAATATATAGGATATTTGAAAAGTCATTAATATATTGAATTTTATTAACTATGGAATAATTCCAGAATTTACCTATCCCAGCTAAAAACAACTTCTTTTGAAAATTCAGGAATGTAAAAAATATAATTTAGAATTGTAATGTAAAAATTGAAAATATATTCAAATTATTCATTTAAACAGGTTTTCAGCTTTTTAGATGTCACTACGATTATTAAATATAGAAATTGATGCCTTAAAAAAATTTAATTTTGACGGGGGAAAAAAATGCCAGTGACAGTAGTTGGTACAATTTAATTTTACTATTTATAAACAGTTCATGCCTTAGAAATTAAATGTCAACAATAATTTACATAAATTTTAATATAGAGTATAAAAACAACTAACCTTTGCAAGTCTTGCACGTTTGATTAAATCATTTAATTTCCTCAAAGCAGCATTTTTAGGCAGACTTTGAATGTCCCGGAACATATCTTGTTCTTCAGCTTCAAACAGTTTTCGATTTGAATCAAAATTAAGAGGCTGATCCCAAAAGGAACCAATATAAACACGAGCAACTTCAGGAGTATTAAGTACTTTACCTAAAGACCACATCAGAGCTCCGTAAACACGCATCAACTGTTGAGAATCAACCATATCAGCTTTGTTAAGTACAATTCGAATTTTATCATCATGACCTCTGAGAGCTTCAATGCTACGGCGAAATTCGTCAGAAATGTCTAATTTATGAGCATCAAATAAAAGGATAATACGATCCACTCTTTCTGCAAACCACTCTAAAACTCCAGTGAAATCATAACCTCTATCAACTCGCTGCTTTTCTCCAGACAAAATTCCAGGTGTATCAATAATCGTAAGGCTTTGTAAGACTTCTGATTGAACTACAGATGATTGAAAACGATTTAGAAATGCATTGCCAAATTTCTGCAATGGCCTGAATTGACGTTTAGGATCTACAACAAGAGCGTTACCAGGAATAATACTTTCCTGCTCACCAAACATAACAGCAATAAATCGATCTGTGGTGGGCTCCGGACCAATTCGAATTCCAGGAAAGTCCCTCTCTAATAAGTATTTAATAAATGTAGTTTTACCCGTGGAGTACTGACCAACGAGTAAAATCATGGGTTTTGCTTCAAAATCAGCATCGTTAAGAGGAGGGGAGTGAAACTCATGAAACATATAATGTTCTTCTAACGGCAAAATTTTCAGCTTGTAGATTTTTTTCAATCCTTCAACAACATTATTATATAGATCCGGCTGACTTCTTTTAGAATCTCTCATTAGAGAACTAAACATGTTTAACTTAATTTAATGGAACAGTAAACAAAGGACGAATACAAAAAATGCCACTAACAATAACAGAAATACGCCCACTGCGGAACGTGCTAATGATATTGTTTCGTTATTAGTAAACACATTCTAAAGAGACTGCCGGCTCGATTACAAAGATTAAATCTCAATAAGAACTTACGTTGATAGGACAGACCTAAAAATGATTAGTTAAAAATTGTTGAATCGGTTTATAAATAACGCATACACCTGACTTTCAAGAAATGAAAACCAAGATGCAAAATAATTTAAACGTCTTTAGCTACCTATTTCTGTGCCGTTTATAGACAATTAAACTCCATCCTTTCTCGGCTACGGTCTCGCCGCACTGCCATGTGCTCCGTAGCATGAGGGTAGGGACTTCGAGGGTTGTTGTTCATTTACGTCGCACTAGAGCTGCGCAATGGGCTATTGGCGACGGTCTGGGAAACATCCCTGAGGATGGTCCGAAGAAATGCCATCACAATTTTGATCCTCTGCAGAGGGGATGGCACCCCCGCTTCGGTAGCCCGATGACCTGCACACGAAATCGAGCACTTTACGATAGAACAATTTAACGAGGACCAATACTGCACACCCTCGGTCCCTACGCAGACTGATCCAAGAGGTCACCCACCCGCACACTGACCGCAACCAGTGATGCTTGACTTCAGTGATCTGCTGGGAACCATGTCTTAACGATGAGTCCACTGCGGGACAGGTAGGGACTTCGAATCCCGTCATAACATTAGTTTAATCTTACGAAGGACATATAAAGGAACATTCACACCACTGCATTTGATTGACAAGGACATGTGCGCAAACGTATAGAAACTACATGTAAGACTTACTGCTCGCTCATGTTCGAATCGCATTGACGGACAATCACATATGCAAATCGCAGGCAGTCAGAATGTTCCATAATCCATACTTTGTAGTGAGCATACTAGCCTGCATATGCATGCGTAACAATAAATAAAATAGAAATTTTTTCAGCATCAGCAGAAAGCTCCAGAACTGCACAATGGCATGCATACATTTTTCTTAGGAAAAGAAATATGTAGGTGACCATCACGCCGGTTCCCAGTAGATCACCGAAGTCAAGCATCACTGGCTGCGGTTAGTGTGAGGGTGGGTGACCACTAGGATCAGTCTGTGTAGGGACCGAGGGTGTGCGGTATTGGTAATCGTTAAACTGTTCTACCGTAAAGGGCTCGACTTCGCATGCAGGTCGTCGGGCTACCGAAGCGGGGGTGCCATCCCCTCTGCAAAGGATCAAAATTGTGATGGCATGTCTTCGGATCATCCTCGGGGATGTTTCCCAGACCGTCGCCAATAGCCCAGTGTGCAGCTCTAGTGCGACGTAAATGAACAACAACAACAACGACTATCACGAAGTGAGAAAAATGGTTTTTCGTCCAATCTGGCTCACATACGCATGTACCTTAATTATGTCACATTAGAGCCGCACAATGGGCAGTTGGCGACTGTTATGAAACATTCCTGAGGAAGATCCGAAAATATGCTGTTACAATTTTGATCCTCTACAAGGGGATCTCATTTGTGAGGCCACTTTCTCATTTCAGACATAGAAGGGGAAGAAAATTTTATTCACATCTCTGTACCTATGGTATTGTCCCGATCAACCACAAGAGTTTCAATTTCACAGATTATACGAGCAGAGCCAGACTTAGCCAAATTGGGGCCTGGGGCAAAAACTTCTTTTGGGGCCCCCACTGCTTCACTAATGAAGAACCGAAGTTTATGGAGGTATTTTTTGTAATTGAAGTTTTGTTTGTAATTGTACTGCAACCATTTACAAGCAGCAGCTGTCGGAAGATTTTGCTAACACGACAAAAAATTTTAACTGCTGATGTGATAACGATGTTCTTATGAAGCAAAATTCATAGTCAGACTTAAGAAATTTCTATTTAAAACTCAGATTCAACCAGAAAGAAAAATATGTGCAGTGTTTTACTGTACCTGCAGAATGAAGGACAGCCCAATAATCTGGGAATTATTCCAAAAACGTTTTATAAATCTCTAAAGTGCAATAAATTGAAGGAAAATGTTGAAAAAATCTATCTGCGACTAGGCGACAAGTAAAAAAATTAATAACAGATTTCGTCAACGCATCACAGAATGAGGATTGAACTGAAAATAAGGACACTGAAAAAGAAGTGATTGAAGATGATGGACCAAGGATTTTCCTCAATTAGCTAAAGTTATTCATACTATACTGTATAGTTCGCTCAGTGTTCTAAACAAGAAAAATTTATTGTTAAAAAGAAATTGATTTCAAAATAAAAAAGAAACGAGTCTCTTCGAATCAGGTGGTTGACATGGTACAATACTTGAAGCTGTGTATGAATAGTTAACCAACAATAGTGGATTAACAAGTCAGAAAGAGCCTTTAGATTGAATGCTTTATTCGCGACTAAAATTCAATCCTGACTAGGTGGCGGCGCAAATGTTTTTTACTTTCTTAATTTTTAACATTAAAGAAATTATTGAAATTGTAGTAAGTTTTTAGGGCTATAATTTTCAATATTCTCGCATTGTTTATAAGCTCTTTGTTCTTTCATACTTCTCTCTGTTGTCAAGTGTAATTATTAAATTAATTCTAAGTTTGAGTCGAATGCCTAACTGTGACTAAAAACCACAATCCCACCGAATTGTGGAGTTTGTAAATTTCAATCCCAGAGAGCCAAAATCAGAGCAGGATTGCATTACCTACATGCAACTTCGATTCTACAGTTTATCAACAGTAGTGCATGGCCAGTGAAGGAAAACCAATTGCTCTAATTGAAGAATAAGTCAATAAAATTTGATGCTTAATATACTTTCCCCAGTAGTTTGAACCAAGGCAAGGTTTGACAATATAACGTGAGATTGTTATATCAGAAATGCATAAAAGTATCATAAATATTAAGGCATAACAAAAAAGTATATTAGACTGATTTAACAATCAATGCTTTACTCCAATAAAGATTATGAAACAAAAATAATAACTAACGGCAAAATTTTTTATGTTAATATATATTTAGAGAATCCATTAAAGATAATACGTTATATGCAAAAAAAACATTAAAAATAGTACGTTGGTTTGGGGCAGCGATTTTCAATAAATAAAAAGTCAGGATAAATATATAAACTGCTCATTTTAAAACAAAATTAAATCACCCATGGGGCCTAATATTTCTCAAAAATAGTGAGTAAAATTTTCTAACTAGATAAGTATTTTTGATAAATTATTGAACCCTTTGAATAGAAATTTACTGATTGGGAATGCATTATTTTAATCTAATAAATGCACACGAAACTTCATACGCTGATTTTCGCATAATGGTGCAATATACACTTTTGATTATCAAGGTGAAGTAATTATTGTATTACCAACTTTTTGATCATGACCACCTAAGACAAGACTAGGGGAACATGTTATTCTTCCTTTATTTAGAACAAATTTTACATATTTTACATTTAATGTGTGGTAAAAACGAAATAAGTAATTGCTTAAATTATTTGAACTATATATTTGAAACTTTAGTTATTCAAATGGTAAAATTTCAGATGCTATATTTTAATGAAGGGTTTAGAGCAGGCGTTTCAATGGGCGTTAAGTTAAAGTTACATTGCATCTATAGAATAGCAAATTAGACTATGTATCAGTGGTTATAATGAAAGGTACGATGTAAAGGGGGAAACAATTACAAATTTAAATAGTAGCAAAACAGTAAATCAAAAACAATTGTGTCTTTACATACTGACAGAGTAAATCTTTTTCACTAGAGTAAATTGGATGTTTTTTTTCGAATTATGGTAATGTAATGTAAGTAAGTATAGGAATGTACGTATAATATTTTTTACCCTACAATTTCGCTTACTACGATAATAATTGGCATGTTCTTTATCATCAAATTCGGTACCAGAATTATAGGGAAAAGGTAAACAGATTAAGCTCGCGAATGCTTTTAGAACTTTATAATTTTTTGATAAAAATTGAAATAAATTAACATGATTCGAAAACATTTCTGTAATAATCCTGTGCACTTGTTGAGGTCACTAAAATTGGCATAATAATTCAGTGCCATTAACAAAAGAAGAATACTAACAGTCATTTTATTGTTTAAATAAAATATGCATTTTAAAATATTTCAAGTAAAAATACATTCTACTATCTAATGGTTTTTCTTTATATTTTTATACAATAAAACTTTATGTTTCGAAATTTAAAAATACTGAAGTATATTAGCGAAGTAGTGAAAACATAACATTGATTAATAGTATTTTGATAATTGCATAGATATAATTGTAATTTTTAAGAATGCAATGCTTAATTAGTAAAACAAGCAGTGACATGCTTCAAGAACTCAAAGCTTAAAGAATTTGAAAAAACTATGAACATTTTATTGAAATTAACACTTACATAGTTTTCTGTTAAAAAATTAAAGTTGTTAAACATGTTAAATTTTCTTGATGCAATTTAAGCAGTATAGTATGAACAAAACAATGTAAAAAAATAATCAAAAAAACAAATTCGCTGTTATTTTTAAGAACAGAAATAGATTTATTGAATAAGAAAAATTTATATATCTATATAAACTTAGGTAACACTACATAAATTTAAATTAAAAGCTTTTCTACATAGAAATAAAGCTATAATGGAGCAAAATAAATACATGGCATTTGAGATAACATAACTAACATTATAATTATTTTTCACAGCAAACAATATAATATATTTGAATGAAAACATACAAATAGAATGCAGAGATATTGCGTATGGTGCAAAAACGCTTTAAATCAGCTATAATGAAAAAAAAAATTCTACTTAGATGGTTTTGCAAAAGTTAAGGAACATGTTAAATATTCTTTTAATATTCCAAGCAGTATATTGCAAAATAAAAAAAATGCAACATAATCACAAAAACAAATTTGCTGTTACTTTTAATAATAAAAAAAGTTTCATTAAGAAAATATACATATATAAATCTATGTAAACTTAGTTACTACAACATAAATTTAAATAAGAAATAAAGCTATTATGTTGAAGAATAATAAAAATACTCACATTACATGACATATCTTTATTTTTGTTAACCATAAAGTCACATAATAACAATTGAATCAAAAGATATAAAACAATTTAAAGAGAGATTAAGCTTAAGGTAGAGTAACTTTAAATCAACCGTAGTGATCAAAATCTGACTGTTATTTTTTTATTAGTTAGACCTTGTTTAAACTGCAAACTAGTTAAATAATTTCAAAAATTTAAAGATCTAGAAAGTTAATTTGTGAAAACATGACCTAGACAATTTAAACAAAAAAGTCTTCAGCTTCAACAGTTATCTTCAATAATTCAATTCTTAATCAACTAGCCTAGTGATTAATCATTAATCACAATATAATGTTGCATTCACACTTGTAGCCAGGTATAATATTGTTTGTCTAAAATAATATTTTCCAGTTACCTCCAAATTCAAAATGAAACTTACAATAATTTAATAAGATTTTTAGAACCTACTATGATTTTTGCAATTTTTCTTAATTATTCAAATAATTTAATAAAATATATTATTGATTCAATGGTTCTTCTAATCATTTAAATCTTTTTAACAGAAAGAACATCCAGAACAGAGAAGTTAAATGAACTGAAATGTTAATAAATTTTAGAGACCCAGCACCTTAATTTATATTTAATAGGTTATAATTGGATACACTAAATAATTTTTATAGTAAAGGCTGGTATAAATTTAGCAATACTGATAAAACAGATGTGGATATAATTAGTGGAAGCATATTTTATTAATTTCAGCTTATTTTGCACTTTTGTTATGATTAAGGGAAATAGCTGATACAAAAATAAAATTCATTCATTTGAAAGGCAATACATATTTTTTTAAAAAAAAATTCCATTATAATTCGATTATTAAATTGATAAGCAAAAATGCATCAATAATTTCTTTAAAATACTATGAACATAAGAAACAAAAAAAGCAGTTACACTAATAAGAGTATTATTTTCCAGGAATAATTTTTTATAAATATATTGCCTTTGAATTGACAAAAATGTTTCAAAAGTTCCTATTCTGGGTCCTGTAAAAGCAAACAAGATGAATGGTTAAAATATCACTTTCTTAAACATTTGGTTAATGGAATAAAACATTTTTAAAGCTTTATAAAATAAGTTGCTTAAAAAACTTAACGAAAAGAACTTTTCAGCAGAAATTTCTGTTTATACTAATTTTTATAGGAAGAAGTATCCAAAGAAGAGATATATTATTAAAACTTTGACCATTAAAGTGAGCACTAGAATGTAAGACAAAATAAAACGTCAGCTCTAAATAAATTATACATTAAAAAATTTATGTCAGTCAATACACATTGTTTTTTCACACATGAAAACTGACTGCAACCACAACCTAAAAATAATTGCATAAAACAGTAACATACAAATATATAAATAAAATTACAAGCAATAAGAAAAATGGATATATAAATAAAATTAAAAGTGATAAGAAAAGTCAATATATAAAGAAAACTATAAGCAATAAGAAAATTAATATAAAAAATTACAAGCAATCAAAAATCATCACGATTTTTTATTGTTTGTAATTGATAAAGATAAGAAGTTAAATAATCACATAAAGTTTCCTAAGTAGCAATTTTAATTTACCATTTTAATCTCTGACAACCTATTTCAAAACAGTTGAGAAGAATTTTAAATACTGTCTTTATTGCTTTGATAGCATTGCAAAGAAACAAAATTTTTTAAACAATCTATTTACTGACATAAATTTTAAGATAAAAAAGGGACAGAGATAACATAAAAAGTACTTTAATATTATATTTTAGTGTACATAGACATACTTCAGGACAAATCTCACATACTGTTCACTTAACTTGCATTTTTATAAGAATCATAATTTATGCATCTTATTGACATCAAACACCTTCCTAAAAAATTATTTAATTTAATTTATGAAATAAAACTTCAGTAGTTGGTAGCTGTATCTTCTTCATAAAACGGAGTCATAAAAAATAATAGAATGTCAAACAAAATGGATAAAGTATGCTTTATTAAAAATTAGATAAGAGAATCTTGAGTAAATAGAATGGTAACACATGTTTTTAATTCTATGTCATGATGTTATCCTATAATTTTAAAAAACAGTCACATTATAGCAGATAGAGAAATCCTAAATTCATTTTAATTGCAGAGACATTAAAGGAAAAGCATCCATATTTAAAATCATACTGTTTATTCCACTTTCAAGCAAGCCATAATTGTGTGAAATTTATATATTCTAAGGAAGCACCATTTTTTGTAGATCATTCACTTGGCATCAATGATTCAAGCAAACACTAAATAACCATTTATATTAAGTTGTAAAATTTAATAAACCAGCAATAGCCTAAAAAAATCCCAACACATTATTTAAAAATGAATATTTAACTATCACTTTAATATGACAAAAAAAAATAATGACAATAGCTAATAATTAAATAATGAACAAACATAAAACACTTATAGTGATTAAAAAAGCGAAAACATTATAAAAATGAAAGTTCATTAATAATAGTATTTTATATTATTAAATAATAAATAGGATCATGGTAATTATAGTAAATAAAGAAACACAATCTTAAAAAACAAGAATATATACATTCAGTTATATTTGATAGATATAGTTGCTTAAAAAGTCTCAATTATTCTAAACTATTAGCTATAAAAAATTTTGTAAATAGAAATATATGTAAAGCTCTTCAAAAGAGCACAGCAGTGTTTTTTAGTCAAAGCGTATTTGGAAAAATATCTTGAAGATTTCTGACAAGAATTTTTTTCAGACAACAACTGGAGCAGGTATATGAGGAGGTGAAGATATATTACGTGCATTCTTTGTTTCTAAGTCTCTCTTTTGTTCATCTTTTCTACGTATGAGTTGAGCTTTAACTGCTAGAAGTTCTCGGCTTCGGATATGAATAGGCTCCTATCAAAATAGTAGTAAATGAAATACAATTTGCAGTCATTAATTATTAAAACTTCTCAATCATGGTTGGTTTTATATTATTTTTTACTATAAATTATGGATTATCGCAGTTTTATTTTGTTTCTAATTAAGTTAGATATTTTAAGTTTAATTATTTCCTAAATGATAAATCAAAACTATCTAACAAATATGTTTCATTAATAACTTTTGGGATTACCTACGTCATTTTTCAAAAGCATGTCATATGTTATTCACAAATGGACATCATTTCAACTGCAGTGTCTTATTTCTTTAACTTTCTTAAAATTAACATACATGATAACTTTCCAACCATAGAAAGAAAAAGAGTTTGATATTAACTTTCCGATCATATAACATATTCTTATCCTGCATTGCAAAGAGGAAGGTAATGAATTTACTGAAAAAGTGTTGAAAGATAAACCGTTAAATTTTTAATCTAAACAATAGTAAAAATTTTTAAACACTGTAAACGCAAAATAGTTCTCCATCATATTGTTCATATCATAATATTGTTAAAATACTTAGGAGTCTTCCTGAATTTGTTCAGCTATTAAATATGTTAAAAACCTATTTACTAATATTAAATAGTTTGTTAAAAAAGCATATCTCTCAGTGAATTTGTTCTTTGTTTCATTAATAATTTCTTGCTTTATTAACAATAAAAACTGCAAAAAAATAGTCCATTTTATTTAGCCAAGCAATCACTAGACTAAAATGACCAAAAACACTGAATAATATATCATTGCTATAGTTAACAGGATTTGAATTTTTCTTCTCATTCTACAAAATATTGTTGCAATGTTTTTGCATTTTATGCTAAACGGCTAAAATATCTTTCAAATTAAATGTTTATGCCAAATAATTTTATTTTCCAGTAGATATATAAACACCAGTAAACAAAAAACTATCAAAATATTTTCATAATTCTAAACATTGATAGAGCATTTATATCATTTTGAAATGAACCCAATCAGCATTACCTGTAATCTCATGCGAGGATTCCAACGGCAATAATATCCTTTCCATAACTCTATGCAACGCATGCTAGGTACAGCAAAAAGAATATGTTGTTGCTGGTGTGTTGTGTATAAAGGATTGATGAAATCACTTTGATTACTATTTATGAAAGACCATAAAGACACAGTTCGATTTTTAACATCCTGGAAGAATACAAAACCCTTCACTATACTATACATGGATAAATAAGCAATAAATAAAAAAACTAAAATACTCTTAAATGCAGGATAAATATCAGTCAGGAAACGCTAAATAATTTTCCAAAACATACTGATCTGTGTTGCCACGATCATTTAAAGATTTTCTTTGATTAATTGAAGCAGCAAATTCAAGTTTCAAACATTTGAAATATATTAAAAAGAAATTTTGTACAAATAATGATACAATGATTAATCTATTAAAATAGGAAAATTATTAACACTGAAATTTTTAATTATCTGAATTATTCATTTTCAAAATCAAGTTTAATCTCCATTTTTTTGATAATTAATGTTTTATTTTATTTCAATATAATTACTTAGAATAGCCATCATTAAAGATATTACACATTGATTTTCTTGAATTAAATACCTGATACATCATTACATTGAATGAAACAAACCCAAAATTGTGAAAAAGACAAGCTGCATTAAATAATGAATTAAAATCATGAAATTATAACTAACTTTAAGTACAATGAGTATAAAAATAATACATCATGCAAGAATATTTAACAAAATATTTTAAGTAAATTTAACTAAAAAAATTATTTTTAAATAAATAAACTGCTACCCAGAAACAAAACTTCTTGAGAGGCAACACATAAGACACATTAATTTTTTAAAATACATAATAAAGTTATAGTAGAGAACCAATTATTCCGAAGGCTGGGAACTATCGCTATCTAGGATGTTAGAAATTTCCAGTTTTCTGGATTGCTAAAAATGATTCAATACAGCTTAACTATATACCTACTTTAATACTGATGAATAAAAATAGCCATATTTAAGCCCTTTTAGTATTCTAATTAAAAATTTGTCTTTTTACTACACTCATTTTATTTTATTATATTTACATGTAAAGCATAGCCATATATTTTTTTTTATTATTTCCTTACAATCTTCTGCTTGCTGATATTTTCCCCTCATAAATAAAGCGAAAAATTAAATGATTCGTTAAATCTGATTTTGTTTACTAGATGCTGATTTCGTTTACAAAAATGAAGTAAAAAATACCAAATAAGAAAAACAAAACAATCAAAATTTCTCCATTCCACCTCACGATCAATTTGATAGAGAATGATTTGAGGAGCATTTCTTCTTCTGCTGTGTGTAGACAAACTTTCATAGCAATTACGTCTATTAACAAATTCAGTGATTTTCAAGCAAATTTTGTCAAAATCAGGTGTTGATGAAAGGGTTGAAGCTAGTTGCAAGAGTCACTAATTTGCTTGCACAAAGAATTTCAATTGAGGTTTTGGGTTCATTTCATTTTATCTAAGCCTGCCGCTCCTTTACATTTGATTAAATATGGAAAAAAGAAATACCCCTTTCCCTCTACTCAGCTTCAAGGATGACAGAGATGTTCTAATTAAAAATGGCAGGAAAAGCAAGCAAAGTTTTACTAGATTTCCTGAAAGCAGATAAAAGGTTTTATATTGTACAGCTAAGTTTCTACTTAATTTCTGATTAAAAATGGCCGATAAGTTTGTTTATTGTGAAAATTTTAACATTTTGATAAATTATTTGAAACAAAAATTAGTTTGTATTGTTTAAAACTGTATAATTGTACTATAATTGCATTGATTTTTGCTGAGTTCACTTTTGAAGTATTGTTTGTAACAAAAGAGAAAATGATTAAGCATTTAAGAGAATAAAATAAATATTGCCATGATGCTCAGTGAAATTCTTATTGCAAGATCTTAATATGATTGGTTATAAAATTTAAAAGATAAATCTGTCCTGCAAAGAAATTAAAAGAAAGAATAAAAAAATAATTTGAACAAATTGCACTCAAATACTGAAAAAAAAATTATTTAATTGGTGAGACATAAACCTGTTAAATGGATAGCTTTTTATATTTTAAAAGAGACTTATTTGAAGCTGTATTTTAATACTGACTTATCTTTTCTAGCCAGTTATTGTATATATATATACATATATATATTGTACAATAGACCTCTGGTCGATGTGCCCTGCTCGTCAGAGCTGCCCAACCTCTAAGTCTAAGTCTAAAGTAGAAGCGATTCATGCTTTTCCGGTACCTAAAAATAAAGTTCAGTTACATGCGTTTTTGGGTTTGATAAACTTTNTATATATATATATAAGAATTTTTCTAAAAATACCCCTATCTGTTTTGTACTGAAATGAGTTTTTTCAAATATCTGCATAAGATTTTCTTCACTTAAATTTATATCCCAAAAGTTTTAAGAAGAAAGTTCTGGAATATTTCAATGAATTTTTTTTGAAATTATAACTAATTAATATATCTTTTAAAAGTTCATTTCAGGAATATGCTATAAAAATATCAATGCTTCAGGTTTAATACTTTTTACGATAAGATGTATCAAACATAGGTATTTTAACTATGTTTGTGACTGAAAAATCAAAAAAGGTACATAACAATAATTTTTAAAATGCTACATGTGTATACATGTAATTACATGACTAAAAGTCATAATATATTTCAAGTAAATTAAAAATTACCTCTTTCATTCTTTGGCATTCAGAGTTGAAAAGGAAAGTACCAAATAAACAGCTGTATAAATGGTCTAAAATTGTTATGAGGAAATTTTCATTGAACTCAAATGCATTGGGATACTGAGGAAAGATAAAATAATTTGCAGTAAATATAATTAATAGACATACATTTAGAATTATACTACTATGATAAAAATCACTCAAAAATTAATAATGAATAAAAAACATAGTTAAAAATAGAAAATGCTTAGTGTGAAATATATTTTTTGACAATCAATTTAAATGATTAAAAAGTGACAAGATAACAATAATTCTATGTATCATGATGTAAAATACTCTTATTAGAGAGTATATGGTTGGTTAAATAAAAGAGTATAATTAGTTTTATAAATTTCTTATATTTATCCAGGGTACGCAGCCAAATCCTTTAACAAAAATAAGCACCTTTTAAGTACTTTTTAAGCAATAAAAAATTACTTTTAAGCACTATATACATTAATAAAATGCAAAATGATTTTTAAAGACTTTATATGAGCATGATAAAATAACTAGTTTCTGACAAAGAACTCTCTTCCTGATTATATTATCTATTTTAAAATGATCAAGAGATTTTTCGGTTCGATATCAGAGGGTGGAAAATGAAGCTTGAAATTGAAAATATCTTGCAAGATGCAACAGAGTTGCACAAGAGAGTGCAATTATCTCATCGAACCCAGCTCAGTAGATACACATGCGGACTCACAAGTATTTTATCAAACACGTAAAATGATTGGTGCTTTCATATGCTATGAAACAAAGGTACGCCAAAATAGATTGTGGTTAAATGAATTGCGAAAGCATTGAATAGAACAATGTGAAAAGCACACTTTTGCATAATATGTGGCAAAAATCGACATGGTAAAGAAAAAAAAAATCTCAGTTTCAAAATGGGAAAATTAAGTACTTTTTAAAAACATCCAATGAAAAAAGCACCTTTAAGAGCTTTAGAAAAATGAAAATAAGCACCTTTAAGCACTTTTTAAAAACTCCACGCATCATGTTATTCAAGAAGTAGAATTATAAAGAATATAATAACAACATCTGATTAAAATTCTTTTATAAGCTTTGGTTTTAAGTTTTATATTTATGTGGTCTAACACATAATGTAAAATTCCAAACCCCATTTCCCAAATTGAGAGATGAAAATCTTGCTCCTTTATTATTAGAAGAGGCAATAAAAAGGAAACAACTATAAATTTTCCTTTTTGCTTTGTAGGCAGCTAAAGCAAAGTTATATTTATTCAAATCTTGTTACTGATAAAGAGAAATGTGTTTGGCCAGAAAAGAAGAGGATCATTATTCAGTACTAACTGCTTTTTCACATTTAAGAGAAGTTGAAAGAAAATGGGTGTTTAATTAATTCATAGTTTTGCTTAGTTTTTTCAATACTCAATTTGGTTTACAAAAATTGATTACATTGAAGAAAAAATATGTTATGAATAATTTTTGTAACTATAATGATATGGCAATAAAATAACTTTATCTTTTGATAAAAAATTTATATAAGTGAAACAAGCAATTTACAATCTCCATAAACTTTTGCCATTTGAAATAGATTATTACTTTGCGGGTTATCTGCCACACAGCATCAATGAATTGCAGAAACACAGGGGATCTATCAGCATCAGAATGCTTATCATCACCATGACCAATTCTCTGAAAGAATTTTTTTTTTTTGTAAGTCAATAAAAATATATCAAACATCATTCAATAACATTTTAGAGCACTTATTTAAATGGTTAACATTTTAAGCCAAAAAACTATTTGTTAAAGGAGTTCTACATTTGAAGAACATATATTTAAAAGTTACACTAAGAAATGCATACCAATTATTTTTCAAACTATTAATTAAAATAATAAAGCAATTACAGAAAAATTTAAGGAAGTTCTGAGAAATGAGTGTACAAAACTCATTTTTATTACAGAAACCTAAAGAAGAATTTTTTACTCAAGAAAAAAAATATTAATGACTTAATATTTTAGAAAATACATGCAAAAAAACTATACTATACCAGGGCCAAGAACTTATGTCGACATTTGTACACACTTTTCTTTGTCTACATTTAGCATAATTATTTTCGATATTGTCATAGAAAACTTAGCAGAATATTTTGATGAGATAATATGTGGCATCAAAAATCATTATCTTGGCCTCTGTGTGTAAAATAAAAAAAAAAACACTTCTAATTTTGCTTTTAAACATTGTAACTTAAAACAAGAATACTCACACTTATACTTATTTCTTGCATATTCATTTGCATGCATTTTTTTTAAAATTATTTTAACATCCATCTTGAAACAACTGTAAGCAAGATGGATTTTTTCTCTTATTACTATTATTCATTACATCTCACATTGCCATATCAGAAAAATAATGTATAACATTTCTGATGAGTCGGAAGTATCAACTTATCATAAGCAAAAAACATATTGTTTAAAACCTATTTCATAAATTGTGTAGTTGTGGGAATAACGTCATCTATCATGCTCGAAACCAATAACTTCCTCAATGAAAGGTGCCAGTCTGTCCAGAAGGGAAAAGTACCAGAATCCACAGTGCCACTGTCCAGACGGGAAAAGCCCCGAATACTTAATAGACTTATTACTTTCCTTAGAAATCTAATTATAGCAGTCAGTCGTTGTCCTGCAACGCTGTGTGTAGGCAGTTTTCCGCTATTGATATCTCTGTTAAACTTATTTTCCTTCCTTATTAAATATGATAAGTTAAATTCTTAAATTAATTATTGTCTTTTTTCCTTCCTTGCTCCACAAATCACTACATAAATATTCTTTTTTTAAAAAAAAAATCAGTTTGGGAAAGAGAATACAGATTTTCATAAAAATTTCTGCTTTCTTTAAAATTTTTTAAATTGAGTTTTTAAGTAAAGGTATTTAACTTAGTAAGTTGTTTACCTATTTCTTTTATTTAAGAAAGTTGTTACCTACTACTAATTTATTTTATTTAGGTGTCATGAATATTACATTCTATTACTTACATACCATTCCTAATATTATTTGAATTATGGATAAAATTTTTCGCTGTTATTTGAATTTGCATTTCTAGTTAAAATTTTCAAATAACTAATTGACAAAAAAAAGAGCATTAGTTAAAAAAATAATTAAGTTCATTACTGATTCATTTATATATTTATACAATATATCAAAATATAAAATAAACACAAAAGAGAAGCAATAATGATTCTCAATATACATACTTGAGAAAATTTATGACCAAAACTTATCCACTCTTTCTCAATAAGAACTTCAAATCCCTTTAGTGTTCTATAGTATGGATCTAAAATTAGCATTGCCAAACTTGTCAGCTAAAAAATAGATTTGAAGTAATGAGTTTTAATAAAGAAATGGGAAATTACCAGACATAGAATTTAGCAATATCTGATTCTGATATTTTATTAGAATGCTAAATTGCATGGAATGCAAATACATAAAATTTTTTGTCATTCCTGGTATACCCAGTGGATATGAACCTCTAACATTATGAAAATATACTGCCTAATCTTTTCCATATAATATCAGTATGCAAATAAAATTACTTACAAAACTTATTTAAAAATTAACCAGCCTTTTTTAAAAATACATTCTACTTAGAAATAAAAATAATAAATTTTTTTTGTTAATTTATTAGAGTAAAAATTAAGAAATTTTTTGAAACGTTAGAAAATTATTGGCAAGATAAACATTCTCTGATGATACAACACTTTTGATGCATCTCAACAATACAAGAGTGAATAATAGTTTATAAAGAATAAATTTAACACAATTTATAGACAAAAAAATAAGGTCAAAATATAAGTATTTACTTGAGCAGTGCGATCCCATCCATCACTACAGTGAACAACAACAGACGTTTTGTTGTTTTCTAGTTTATCTGCAATACGAAATGCCCCAGCCATAATAAGCCTAATATGTTCTAACCAATGTGTTGATTCAATACTTGATAGCCAATGGTTTTCATCAATAGAAGGAAAACAAACTTCCTTTAATTTTCTCAAGCTTTCTCTCATAACATGGATATTATGAATATCAAGAAATAACAGTTCAGCATTTTGATAAGCATCTTCACTCTCATAACCACCACCCCTGGCCTTTAAAAAAACAAATTATTAGAATAAAAATAAATAGCTTAAATAATTATTATATACATATTACAAATGCTTCAAATGGTGTAGTTAAAATAGTTAATAATCTGCAGAAAGAAAATATGAATCATTCTTGTAAGGAGACACAACTAGATTTAGTTTTATACAAGTATCTATTAATATGTCATCGAAATGAAAACAAAGCTATTTATAGGTTTCTAACATTAATGTATTATTTGAATTGAAAGAAAAAATCATTATCAACTATTAAAATTCTGAAATAATTAAATGAAATGTTTGGTATAATTTTTGGCATAAAAGCATTTCCGCATTCATGTGATAAACAAACCTACATTTTATATATGCATACAGCATTTCTGTGATAAAAAAATTCAGAAGTAGCATTTATGCTGGATGCCGCACACATATTTTTTTCATAATTTTTAAAAAAATATTATTTAAACACTAGAACATTGTGTCAACGAATAGTGCAATCTTCTTCCTTCAGGAATCATTCTTACTTTATTCTTATCATCCATATCATAAGAATAAGCGAATAAGCCCCAAAATGTTGATGCAAAAATCAAACCAGAACTTTGCATCATATTGGTAGATGGTTACTACCATGCTCTCTTAAAAAATTTGCAATAAGTAATATGCAATAAATTACAACAAATAAGACATTTCAATCAACTTGGTACACTTTTCAGACGATCCTCTAGTTCAACCTATACAATATTTGCCGTTTTAGAATTAAATCTTATGACCATTATTAAAGGCAATCTGGTACTAATCTATAAATACAATAAAAAGTGTACTAACGTCATTGGCTTTCCAACAATGTGAACGAGGGGTGGAGAGTTTGACACGCAAAGTTAGAGTGCACAACAATTTTAACATATTCAGAAAACTCTATAAGCTGATTTTCAAATCATTCAAAAGAGGACTAAAAAAACACACTAACTAAAAGACTAGAACAAACTACACTAAATGAATCATTTGGAAGCCCTGTAAATTCTTTAAACCACGTTTTAAGTTCTTAAGTTCAATTGGATTCAAAATAATAGGAATAATAAACAAAATAAATTAAAGTCTTAATGAAAATTAAAATATATATGAAATGTATTAAATTGCATTGAGGCAGCAATATCCAATCATAATATTGTAACACAAACTTTCTTCTTATTAAAATAACAACTAAATGAGATACCTTATTAGCAACTGCATTTACACTTGGTCGTGCATCCATAATGAAAATTTTGTGTGACTGAGCATTAGCATCCATTATCATTTGAATGTAACGTTCATCTTCTTTACATCGTTTTGAGCTGACACCAACAAGTGGTTGACTGCATCTTGTTATAGTTGCTTGACTCTCAGGGTGAATCCAAGATAAAACCTAAATAAGATGTAATAACTACAATAAATTTTCTCCAACAAATAGATATTATAAAATTCAACATAAAATAATAAAATGTAACAGGTAAAAAGATGGTATACAACAAAAAGCTTAATAAACAAAATGCTTCATTCTTACTTTCATTATCATTTTACAACTACTTTGTAAAACCTTTCCCATTGACAATACAACTTGGTACCTATCGTAACACAAGTAATAAGAATCATTTATATACCAATCTAAATATAAGAGAGTATCCATATAATAAGTTATGAGCCTTTGATTAATGCAATGTTTTATTCTCTGACATTTTATAACAATAATAATTAATATTAACTGTCTGAAGTTTTTTAATCAATAAAGACTTCACTAATAACTTATTTAACTGCTTTCTTTTATACCTCTAACTATATTTAATTAAATATATTAACTTCATTTTATTAATATACAATATCCACAATTAACTTTAAAAAATTGTTTACACAAAAGAAATTGTTTAAAGTGCAGCACTTTTTAACAATAGTTACAAATGACTACTAAACACTTCATTTCAAGACACCTTTTCAAGAGATTTTTAAAGTTAAATCTTGTAACCTACGAAAAAACCTAGTTAACCTAGATAATGCAATTCAATTTTAACATTACCTCACAATTGAACTTAAAGGGTTACCCCTTGATTACCTTTATCTTTTTTGGTATGTCATGTGTACAATATCTTTACTCCAACAATAAATTTGTAGACGTTTCAGCAAATGTGGGCAGTGGAAGAATTTTTAAGTGTGACTTTTGAATTAGAGTGTGTTAACAGAGTTTCAGTCTATAGGCATATGATATATTATTTAAAAATTTTACCGAATTAACAACATTACTTTAAAAATAAAAGTGAATAATTATTTTAATTCAGAATATTTATTTCAATCAATTTTGGATACAATGATAATGAGTTTTCATTTTAAGATGAGTTTTCTTGTTAAAAGTTTTAGTTCTCAGGATTAAATATTTTAAATTTTATATTATGTGAAGAAAGTACCTTGAACATGCATCTCATAATGTAATAATTTATAATTCTTAATATATAGACCATTGCAAAATATTTCTACATCAAAAAATGCATATTTAACTAGATCGGAAAATTTAAGTCTGAATCGAGAGCAATTGTTTAAGAACAGTAATGAAGTAACAGAATTAAAACTATTTAATTAGTTATGATTTTGTACAAGTTAATTTCAATGCATTTTTAAAAATAACAAGTTACTAACTTGAATTACATACCTGCCAACATTGGAAAAATAAAATACTACTTTTACTAGCAACATTTTCGGGCTACCAGTAAAGTTTTGATACACCATCCATAATCATGTAAGTCAAAAAGTGAAATTCAAAATTGGAAATAATATATGCACTTACATTTAGCGAAGTAAAAAATATGTTTATAAATCATAATAATAATAAGATTTTTTAAACTATTATTTATAATTTCTTAAACTATAAACACTCAACATACTACAGTACTGGCAATAGCACCATCTGCTGAGGAATAAGAGAAGTTTTTTTTTGCCACTAGCGGATGTTTTATCCATTTTTTTCTTCTTTTTTTAATTTCTTCAACAAATACGGAGAAATCTGAGAAAAAATAGGTAAACAGGCGATAGGCGTAAAATACATTTAGAAGCATAAATTTAAAATCTTTCTTTACTACACACCCCTTTGAGAACCAACGATGTAGGAAACAAAAATTAATTTATTATGAAACTTCAACAGTTTGGGACTGTTTAATTATTATCTTTTTAATTTGTGAAATTTTACTTAAATGTGCTGGTATTACTTACTTAAGATGATGCATGGTAATGAGCAAAATCAATTCTCATTAATTTTCTGATAAGCTCTACATTTTACACATATATTTATGACAATAGCATTTTTGGCAATTATAGATACATATTTTCACATAGTTTTTAAAATCACAATAATTTATTACCACCTTATAGAGTATCAAGAATTTTGAATCAGACATTTGAGTAATCACTTTTTATTTTTTCTTACTCAATTAGATAAGAATTCACCATAAATCCATATTGTATGCCAATTGCTATTTAGACAGTTGCTGTTACAGATTTTCAGATAGTTTTTAAAATTTTTATATTTATTTAAATATGCTATCATAATGTACACTGAATTACTATTCATACATTTGAATAATCTTTTCTGGACCGACTAGATTAGCGATATTTTGAAAGAGGTTTTATCGATCATCTTTTTGGTCATTATTAAAACAGATTTTCATATGGTTTTTAAAATGTCAATGTTTTAATACGATAACATTTCGTACAACAAGCTTCATATCATACGTTATAAGAATAACTTCTCTTTTTACATAAACAAGTATTGACTATTTACCCATAAACCCACGATGATTTATGAACACATTTTTGTCAGTTATATCCACAGAATTTTATACTTTTTAAGATCTTGATTAGCCATTCCCAAATGGTGTTCTGCAGAACCCTAGCATTCTGTAGAAGTGTTATAGGGTTCAGAAAGTTACTTCTTTTTTTTTTTTAACCTGTAATTGTTCTGAAATTTTAAATTACATTTAAATCTGATGAATGATACATTATCTAATTTATGTTTCATTGCTCTTAAAGAAATCAATAAAAGTAAAATGTCAATGAAAAAAAAAAGATTTTTTAAAAAAATAAATAATATTTATAATTAACAATATATAGAATTAATTATGAAACGGACATACAATGAAACCTGCCAAGTTGACCACCCTTGTAAGTTAGACACCTGCATAAGTTGACCTCAATAATCAAGAACGGAATTTTCCCTATATAATATAAAGAAGCAAAACCTTTATAACTTGACCACCTGTCTATCTTGTGTGTTGACCACTGAAAGAAGTCAATTTTGTCTAGGAGTATTGTGAAATTCTATTCTAAAACCCTCATAAGTTAATAAAAAAAATAATTTCCTGTCATTTTGCAATGTATGTCAAAATTTCACTTGCTTGGTGAAATAGCGAAAAAAGCTAATCTAAACCCTTCCGTGAGTTGACCATCTGGGGAAACTGTAGGGGGTCAGCTTTTGACCATTTCTTTTATTCTTTCATTGAAAACAGGTGTGTTAGTTGAAAAGTTACTCTTCCAGTTGCAATAGTGTGCAAATAGGTTTGTAAGTGTAGTAATAACAGAATAAATTTTAAAGTGTTCAAATAATTTTGTTTTGTTAAAGTTTTCAAATTACATGTTTTCGTGCTCTGATATTTTAAGAAATTATTTTTATTAAACACTTCACATGCATAACTAACAAAATAATTTTTTTTTAAAAAGTTAGTTAAATATTAGAATTATGTATATGTAACAAATTGAAGTTCATTCAAGTTTAAACACATTTCTTAAGATATTCATTTGGCTATTTGCTAAATAAAATTTTTAAGTCAAGTAAAAGAAAATTTTAAACATATAGCAACATGATATAGGAAACGAAAAAGTAAACAATGACCCACCCCCTCTATAAGTTGACCACCAAAACAATGTACCACAAGTGGTCAACTTTCACAAGCTCTATTGTATATTGATAAAAAATTGCATTAGTATTTCTTAACCAGCTTTTCAAGTCAAAATAAAGTAACTAAATTCATAAATAAAGAAATATATTTTCCTAATAACCATTTTTCACATTTATATCAGTTCCTTTTAGTTTTATTTGCAAAGAAAACCATAATTTGCCTTATTTTACTTAATTTCAGCTTATGTATATATATTGGAAATAAATTCATTGCTAAAATGATAAAATTAAATATTAGTTAGTAAACACAATTAGGTAAAAATAAAAAAGAAATTTAATATTAGCTAGTAAACATAAAATGATAAAAATAAAAAAGAACTAACGAAACTATCACCAACTTAATGCTAGGAAGATGATAACAGATATTAACTGTAGACTAATTTTTCACTTTGACGTTTATCTACTTAAAAATTGCCAATAGTGTATTCCTCATATTTGACAGATTAAATTTAAACTTCCAATAATATTAACAAACAAAAAACTCAGCAGGCATTGTCAACAAATTTCTGCTTCAGGGAAATTTATAATTAGAAACAAGCATTATTAATTTCTAGAACTATAATTACTTTTAAATATGAGAACCATAAAAAGGGTCATTATGTATTTCCAAATTTACCTTAAGTATTTTTGAGTTTTAAAATGTTTTCAGTAAAAATAGATGTGAGACAAAAGTATAGATAAAGAAAACTGTGTATAAAATGGAAATGAAATAGTTAGAAAGAGATAGACAACCATTTTGCTACAATTGAAGTACCATCATTAGCATACAGTTGAGGAAAATTTATCAGAATTAAGCCTGCAAAAATTAGACCAATAAGATGAGTGTAGCCCAACTGGCCAAATAAGTATAATCAAGGTTGCAAGTACCAAAATGCTTGTTTCTTTAAACTATTTGATTAGTGAAATTTAGTTGTTTTCTTATTATACTCTGGCACAAAGATAACCTATTCTATATTTATAAAAAAGTATAGAGAAAAAAAAACATTACTTCTGGAAACCTAAAATATACCTGACTTAGCAACCAACAATTGAAATAAATTTCACTATAAGAAAAGTAATAAAATAACAATAGTTTAAAATAACATAATGATTACTTACAGGTAAACGACATCTGCTTCGAAAATTTGCTACTGCTCTCAAATCATCATCTGTAGCAGCAGATGGCACAGCTAACTAGATGTTGAGTTAAAAAAAAGTAAAATAGAAATCAATGAAATATGAAATAACAATTATGTAAAAGAAAAAATTAATGCAAAGTTCAATCTTACAATAGCAGGATAAGTATCACATAATTCATAATGTTCATTTATTTTTGTTATTTTCCAACTTTCTGTAGGTAAGCCCTGGAAATAAAAGTAAAACAGTAACTCATAAATACTATAAATAATCTTCATATCATTAACACACCATAGTTAAAATGTAATCTTGGAGTAACAACAATGCTACTTTAATTCTACAACAGTAAACTTTCTCTTAGAAGAGAACATTTCTGTCATATATACTTTTCAGCCATGCTCAAATACTATAATACAACAATTAAAAAAAAAAAAAAAAAATCCTGTAAAAGAAATAAGTATTATGTTTTCATTGCAGAAAAATAATTATATAAAATAAATTTTTCAAGAAATTTTTAGCATAGGTCATTACAATAAGAGTATATAATATATAAAAGTAAAATACTTTTACATATTTACATTTTCTATATGCCACATTTTATACCTACATTTAATATAAGCTACATTTTATACCAGCATATTTAAAAATAATTTTATTTTTTGATAGGAAATATTATGTAATAAATGTTTTACAAATCATTTCCTTCTTGCATATTCTTTTCATTTTGACAAAAGATATGTGAATGGATAGGAGGAAGACTCCTTTAAATTGTACATGCATTCTAACTTCAACACAGGAAAGCCCATTCTAGTTTTTCTGTATCATTTCACACGAAGGATGCAAGACACTCTTGTTTGAGTTTTTTTTACTTTTTTAAATTTCACAAGTTATGGACCAGGTAAAGAGAGATAGTTTTAGAAAGCTTGATTGAAATGTCAAACAGAAGTATTGTAAAGCACATTCCTCTTTATTTCATTTTAAATATCTGTTTTTAATACAAAGGAGAATCAATTATCAGGGATGCTTGGGACCATCGCTATGTCTAAATTCCCAGGTTTTCTGGATCGGATAAAAAATGTTTATGTTTTATCAAACCCAAATTGTCAATGAANACACTTTAAAATAAGGAAAAAAAGCTCTCCTAAGTTAAAAAAAAAAATGGAAGAAAAATAACATTAACATAAGCTATGTCTAAATTCCCAGGTTTTCTGGATCGGATAAAAAATGTTTATGTTTTATCAAACCCAAATTACAATGAAAAAAAGCAACACACTTTAAAATAAGGAAAAAAAGCTCTCCTAAGTTAAAAAAAAAAAAATGGAAGAAAAATAACATTAAAATAAAAACATTTACAAGTTTGGCCAAGAAAAACAAGTTTAAAAAATACGAAATTCAAACATTTATTTTCTTAAAAATTTCTTCAACTTTTAGCTGACGAATATCCCCTAATATGTTTTAACTAATACTAGCAAAAGTAGATGATGGATGATCAATTAATTTCCGAGATATAGCAGAGAAGGGGGCAGAATTCATTCCAGATTCTAAATTTAACAGAATCCAAGTTTAAAAAAGATTCATATTCATTTATTTTTATTTTGAAAAACATTATTTCTTATAAGGAGTGACAAAACTTTGTCGAGTTTTTAATTAAATGTTACCAATTGTTAGTTCGTATTTAATCCACTTTTTTAAAATAATGCGTTGCTTCTCTTTCACCTTCTGTTCACGGTGCAATGCATTTCCCCCTCGTAAATTTCAGAGAAAACTAAATCAGCACGCCGCTCCATTACGTTTGATTGACGACAGCTTATCAGAAACCACTGATTCTTTTGGACACACAGTAGAAAGAAAATAATTTGTTCTTCCCTGTCCCTTCACAAGCTAAAGATTTTCAAGGTTACGTAAAAATATTGAAGTTTTCTCTCGACAAACAGGGAGAAAAATACCGCCACCCACCATTACCTCTACTCAACTTCAAGGATGAGTCTTAAGTTTACATAGAACAGTTTTTAGCTTACACAGGTTCATTTAACTTTGCTGTGCTATTGTGACCATATAAATGAATGCTGATAGTTAATGGACTATGATAGGTGATTTTTGCTTGTCCAACTATTACTATATATACATAATAGGAGCTACATTAACATACAAGTAACATAGGTTTTGACATACACAGAATTATGTAATTACTGTCAACATTACAAAAGAAAACTTACAGGGAAGTTTGTCTGAAGAAGTTTTGGGACCAACATACTTAATTTTTTTTATTAAAATTATTACAAAAAGAATTTTAAATATGAGGATGGGTAAACTGTGGGTTATGTAAGACCCAATTGTAAATTATCTAGAGTTCAAACTCCCATTTATAAAGTAAAAAATCCCGTGTGAAATCTTTGCGGTAAACTGCCCAAGAAAAATTCTTCCAAAAGGGAAGTTAATTAATTCACCATTGATTAAAACTTATTCTATCACTGAAAGTATTAAAGCTACTGTACAATTAATTACCCATTCTTATGAATAAATTTCAGCTAAATAAAATCTTCTAAGGCAATAATAAAAGATTGTATAAGCATTAACAAATAATTAAATCAATTATTAATATTTATACAAATGATTAAAACTGATCAGTAAACCTTTTCTTTCACTGAAGTATTTGTCATCTTTTTGTTAAGTTTAAAACCTTTCAGGAAATTTTTAGTAAAAAAAAAAATATCAGAAAAACTTACACTCTGAACCTCTTGACTAAATAATAGAGCAATATTAAACAAAAATAAAAAATACTAGAAGAAAATAAGAATCTGATCATCAACATTGAAATATCATTTTGAAAATGCATTGCAGAAGAAAATGTTACCTGTCTTTTATATTCTTGTATTGGTTCATAAACAGTCCAACCATTTACAGAATATTTCCCTTGATATTCAAAAGCAAACAAAGGCTGTAAAAGATAAAGCAAATGAGATAAAATACATTTAGAATCGAAACAATAGTTCGCTTATGAAAAAGAAAACATACTAATTTATTGGATATTGGGAAGGCATATTGTTGGAGTTTTTCAAAAACATCACGCCGAGAATGATTTTCTTGCTTATGAGCAAATCTTAAATTTCCTCGATCTTTACAAAACAATTCAATGCCATAAGAATTTTCACCACGGCTGCTTGCACCTCCTACTTTTTCAATGCGACTAAGAACTCCAAGAGGGATATCTAAGACAAATGATGGATCCTGGAAAATGTGAAGACACTATATAATTATGAAAATTAAAAAAGATACATCAAAGAAAGTTTTACATAAACCAATATAAAACGATAAACTTTACTAAACTTTTATCGAAGTTTATAACACTTTAAATGCAATAATAAAAATTTATTAACAGGACTGAAAAATTCAGTAATAATGAAACTTTAAATAAAAGACCTACCCCTCTATCGAGGCTTTTGAAGTATAACTTGTAGTTTGTAACAAAAAGTGTGCCCCGCACAGGTCCAGTAAAAGGGCAAAGGTAAGTGACATCTCTTGCTAAAATTTAATGATTAAATTTCTTAATTTGAAATAGAAAATGTAAATACATCAGTATGAAATTAATGCTGATTTCAGATTATGAAGAAAAATATTATACATAGATAGGAAAATAGGAAGAAAGCAAGACAGGATTTTAATTCATTAGGAACACACAATATAATTTTTTGCACATATTTTTAAATTACTTAGAAAAAATACTCTATCAATTTAAATGCCAAATACTTTTGACATACCACACACACAAAAAAAAATGCATTAGCTATACAGTTAACACTTAAGTATTCCTCGACATGAAATTACTTTCTATACCAAGTTCTAAACTTGTTTATAAAACTGAAACTATACTTTTTTTGGTTAAGTCCAATAGCACAAAGTATACCCTATCCTTTTTTTGCATATCAGTTATATTTAGCATGAATATGTTATATCTAATTATTGTAAATATCCTTGACAAATTAAAATTATCTAAATTTTCTATTGAGTTACTTTTACTCAAAAAATGCTTTTAACCTATAAATGCCTATAAAGTCTACACAGGGTTCATGCTCTACTTTAGAAATAAAATTCAAGTACTTTTCAAGGACTTTTTAAGACTTATTATAAAATTCTCAAGGACTTAAATTTTAGTTAAAGATAGACTAAAATTTAACATTTTAAACTAAAATGTTTTGACGATAAATGTTAGTCGATAATAGCAGTACTGAAAAATAAGACTTCCATTGCTCTCTCTTGATTTCGGAAAGTGATCTAAGTATAAAAAAAGCAAGGGTGATTGGCATCAAGTCAAGAATAAAATTCATGATGCATAAAAACGTCAGATTTGAATTTTGCATAAGGCCTATTTTAAGCTAGGTATACAACCTCTGAATAAGCAAAGATTCGGGCAGAAGACGGGGTAGGGGGGAATGTTCTATATAATACTGTGATATCAATTAGATATTTAAAAACAACTCTGCCGGGAGATTTTTATTTAATATTTAAAAAGGCAGAAGCATTTAGACAGGGAAATTTAAATTGCTCTTAAATATAATTGTGAAATTTTGACCACTTTTCTATTAAAGAAAATTAATCAATTATTAGATGTTGCGGCTTAATTATCATTTTAAATTTATTACGGGTCAACCATTTTAAATTGAATCAGTTGCCAACTTTCACCTCAATATCTTCTGATAGATTCTTACTAACAATTTTCGTCACTTTGACTGTTTCAATTAATTACTCATACTTGAATAAATTTTTTTCCCGCAGCATCGATCATACGCACTTGACATGGTCACATGAACACGAATCGTAACGAGTAGTTTTCAAATAGAGTATAAATACGGAAAATCGATGTTTGATATTAGAACACGGATGTTTGATATTAGAACATGGATGTTTGATATTGCAACATCTATGGTTGATATTGCAACATCGATGTTTGATATTGCAATATCGATGTTTGATATTGCAAAATGCGTGAATACGAATAGCGACATTGGATTTTAAACTTGCGGAAAAACTAATCGTGATATTGGGGTTTAAAAACGCTTAAGTACAAATCGCGATATTAGATTTTTAAATTGCTCTAATGGGAATTGCAAGAACAATTTTTGAATCACGCGAAAACGAATTGCAACACACAGCTTTTAAATCAGTTTAATACGAAGATCGATGATTGATATTAAAATTGCCTGAATAAGAATCGAGATTTTGTCAGAATCTGGCGCAGTTCCCAATATTTAAAATCAGCCAAACATACATAAAATCAAACAGTATGTGTCATCATCTGAAAGGCGGGAAAGTCATTCTCTCACACTTACGTGCGTCAAAAAGTTAAACACAGAAATGCTGGAAATAGGGCTGTTTTCCTGAGTTTTCCATACTTTTCAAGGTCATTTTGAATTTTTCAAGGATTTAATATCATTTTCAAGTACTTCTAGGGGCCCTTGAAAGTCAAAATGAAATTCAAGCACTTTTCAAGGTTTTTTCAGGGCCGCGGGAACCCTGCCTACATTTTTCAATAAAATTTTGTATAAGGTCAAGTGGAGTGACGTGATCAAAACCATTTCTAAAAACCAATGTTTCATCAAGTTCATTGAGCATATTTATTATGAGAACTTTTAAATAATTGTTAAATAAAAATATCAGATAAATATTTGAAACATTCTAAAATACCATACATCTTTGAAAAACAGGTTTTGGAGCATGTTGATTCGAAGGGATATCAATCTTCAAAGAAAATTTTTGAGGTAAGAACTTATTGGTTTATAGCTAAGGCCATTGTTTTTTTTTAATATTTTTTTTACTTTCGATAATTACTTTGTAGCAGCATTAAAGATTATTATCTGACAGTAAATAATTATAATTATCTAAATTTTTTACCACAGTGGGGTAATTATGACTAACTTTAATGCAAACTCACAATTAATAATTTTCGGCTTTTTTGACTCTCTAATCTTTTAAGAGCCTATAGAAAACTGATGGTAAGAAAGAGGAAACAAAGTCAGCAAGAAGCTGAAAGAAAATACAGCATAATAAAATCAGCTTCAAGCTCCGGGTTAGTAGAAATCAAGGAAGAGAATGTCAAACATAAATGAAGTTTATATAAGAATTAAAGAACAACTGGAGCTTAAAGAACATTTGTTCATTTGAGCTAAATTTGGTTATCTTGTGACAGGCAGGAGCTTATGCATTTTGTTGAAATATTATGTTAAAGAAGATCCTATTTTTAATGATTTTGGAAAAGGACTGGTATGAAGATATCCTTGTTTATCTTTGGAAAAAGCTGAGTACTAATAGTCTTTATATCCACCTACCATAATTCCAAAAAATTTACAAAAAAAAAAAAACAAAAAAAAAATAGAAGCAGAATGCAAGGAAAAAAAATTTATATCATCAGATATAACTTGCCTTGCATTAAATACAGATGAATGAGAATTCAATCAAATTCTGTGTGTGCAGAACAAGTGAAAAATGCTGGTCATAGTTTTCAAAAGGTCTGAAAGTGAGTCAAAAAAGGATGTGCATTAGCTGATCGTCCTAATTCCTCCACATATGGTCAGAATTATCTTAATTTTTTATTTTGAGACTTTTGGTTGAGTAATTATGACCACCCTTTTAAGAGTCTAAGTAATTAACTTGGAAAGTTTGGACTTGAAGTACTTTTTTTCCAGTTTCTTAAAGAGATAAATAATCACCTCAAACCATTAAAATATTCAAATTAACTTTTTTAAAAAGATATGAAAAAAGTTCAAAATAAAAATTTCATAATTAGTTCAACTGACTCCACTAGTATTAATTGCCATGAGAACAACAAGAAAACTACTAAACAAATCTCGCTTGAAAGTTTTTTTTAGTTATTTCGTTTAAATAGAGTAAAAGCTAGAAAAAAACTTAAATGCAAAGTAAAATTTAGCAAAATTATTAAAAACAAAATTCACGTATAGAATTTACACATAAAGGAAAATTTTTTTTTTTACAATTTCATTAACAAAACTACTTGTTTAATAAAAGTTAATGAATAAATATATCATTAAACTTCACATTTTTCTTTTTTACATAGCAAAAAATCTTTTTTAATTGAACATGAAACTGAATAAGCCCACATTATCAAAGAAACACTTAATTGGTACTGTTACAGATATAAATTAAAAGAAAAAAGTTTTTAAGCACATTAAAATTTTCATCACCTTAAGGTGCATTTCTACAACTCTGGGCTCATATAGATTAATAAAAAGAACTCTTAAAATATTCAATCAAATTATAGGCATTAGCATTAGCTCAATTTACTCTTTTTGTCTAGATGAATAAGCTATTATACTAATTCAAAGTTCGCAATTAATCACAAATGATATATTAATAAATACCTCGAGAATTGCCAGGGATTTTCTCACCAGGAAGAAGAGGGGGTTCGTCACTGCGATATGGCACACAAGATTCTCTTTTTGCCTGCAAATAGAAAAAAATGTCATAAATTTCGTTTCTAATTAATTGCATTAAAATTTTTAAGAGAGGTAGGAAGCAATAAATTAAAAGAAAACTTAGTTTAAAATTAAATTTTGAGAGTACAGAAAGTTACTAATAAGTAAAAGATACATTGTATAAATTAATTTTTGAGAGAACAAAGTAAGAATAGAAACTTAAGAATGTTATAAAGGCTATATATTCCATGAAATATCAATAATTTTTACAATAATTAAAGTGTGGTTAAATATTTAATGAGGAATATCTTAAATTTATTAAAATTCATTATCAGCTTGAAATCTGTCAAAATTCATAGGTTAATTTTATAAACTTTTGATTCTCGAGAATTATAATAATTAACAAAATCACATACCTTCTAGTCTATTAAGTTTCCTTTTATGTCATTATTTATTTTTAAAATGTCTACTGTCATTCTTAACTTTAAACATATATATTTCGTATTACCCATTCTGTATGTATAACAAAAGAAAGCTTACAGGGAAGTTTGTTTGAAGAAGTTTTGGGACCTTAATTTGCTTGATTAAAATTATTAGAAAAATAATTATAAATATGAGGTTGGGTAAACTGAGGGTTAAGACCCAATTGTAGATTATCTAAAGTACAAACTCCCATTAATTAAGCAAGTACAAAATAAAGTACAAACTCCCATTAATTTTATCAGGTCAAAAATAATAAGTCACATCGACTATTCACATACAAGTTTGAGATCAATAAACTAAATAAGAGAAAACCTTATTTTATTACGTTAGTTGTAATGTTTAATGTATTTACAAATTTTATACATTTCAAGTTCACTTTATTGAGTTACTTAGTCTAATAAATAAATTAACAAGGATAGAGAGCATGGAGAAACTTAAAGCATTAGCGATATCTATGAACATTAACAGCTAATATTTGAAATATTCTAACTTTTTTTAACTCTTGAAGGGGTATATTTTCTGAAGAAGTTGATGAAGAGGAACAGACTGATTTTGAAGGCGAATGAGACTCTTTGGGAGATTGAGAACTCTGGCTTTCCACAGAATCTCGTTCAATTTTTGAGTTCAAAGAGCTAGATTTTGATTCAGAACCAGTGGAATAATCTCCTACTCCTTTAGAACGAACATCTTTCGCATGTAGCTCTTGAATATAATGATTTTGCTCCATTACAACTTTGTAGGCGTGCACTTGAAAAGTTACTCACTAACATTCAGAGTGAAAACATTTTTAAAGAGAAAAATAGATAATTAGAAGTTAGACTATGACACAGAAAAATAACCACAATAGTTTCGAGTTTTAAAAAATTCAAATACGAGAATAATTCTTAACTCGTTCCATAAAATTCGTCTTGCTTTCTAAGTGATAGATGGCACTTTTTGTTTATCTTTTTTCTTTTGAGAGTTGTTACGCTTCCGGTTGTTTCTTTCTGTTCAACCGAACGTTAATAGCGAGTAAACTTGGTCAATTGACTTAAATAATTATGAGTAAGAATTGCTTTTCTCAGGCTCTTAGCTTACATGGTAGAAAAGGAATTGAAAGTCGTTTTTCCAGCTGAACTGCTGTGCATAAATCTTGCTGAAATGGATAAAAGACTCTTTTTAACAAAATAAGAACCTCGGTTATCTCATACGTTCAGATTCACTTTCCTCATTTCATCATCTGGGTAATACAGTTTCTGTAGAAATGCTTGTAGTGGAAATTCAGCCCATTGTGTATGACCCGGATGATATTGCTGATGTCCTTTTTATTTATGTACGGGTTTGTAAAGATAGAGCGGATCACTTGGCCAAAAATGCGACTTGCCTTCATATTGATCTTCCGACGTCTATCTCGTTGTCACACTAGAAACGTGTAGCTATTTGGGAAAATATTGTTTTGGTCGGGAACACTGAATTCTCAGCTTCACCGAAAGCAGTGTGCATTAAAAGATTTTTTTCACTTATTTTTCAGCTGTTAAAAATTGGTTCAACTGTCGTTGTAGGAAATTTATTGACTTTAAATTAACTGAGATTCTTACAGGATATGGAAATTTTAACACTTACTTGTTTAGGTTTAATTTACAGAATTGAAATTTGTGTTTTTATGGTCAGGATGTTGAAATTGTAGAACACATTATATTTTATGGTAATTTATATTCATGTCAAACAGATAACTTAAAAAAGGAACTGAGATACTCAGGTATTTCTAGGTCACCTGTTCTATCCTTGTTTGTGAAATGCACTGAAAACCTAAATTTTTTATGAAATTTTGCTTATAATTTAAACCTTTAATTTTTTTTTAAAATTTGCAATTGTACTTAGCCCACAAAAAAAATTTAAATTAGAAACAGAAAAGAAAGGTACTTAATTTTTCATTTATCAATTATCTCGTTAAATACCGTTTATTTGAATAAAAATTGTACTAAGAGTAAGATTTTTAATGGATTTTTTTAAGTTTTGTAGCAATTTTTTTTTGAAACCGAAATATTAAGCTGTTGATAGGCGGGAATAACGGAGGGAGAAAAAATTCGCATTTTGGGGAATATTGGAAATTTTGAAGGTAAGCAAAGAAAACTATTTTGCAATTTGAATTAATACACTAATTATAATAATTGCAATTCAGTAACTAAGCATAGATATTTAATTTTAATTACAGTAATTTTCAATGCATCCGATTCTTGAAAGTTTCGCTCACATAAGCATATGTTATAATTCGTTAAAAGTAAATATTAAATACATTAGTTACATTAATAAATACACTTTATACAATAAAATATACTTTATAAATTTATTTTAATGAAAATAGAGAACATTATTTATTTAAAAATAAACATAAAAGGAATTCAGCAAAAAATAGATTTTTGTGAGAGAATAGGAAACTCTTCTCTTGCACATTTATGCAAATTGTTATTACTAGATGCAAAAAAAAAAAAAAAGTTTGGCAAAAAGCATAATGTTCTTTTTCAAAACACATCATCAAAGTTTTAATTTTGCACCCTTGTTTTAAACCACCATATGTGGAGGATTGTTACCGACAATGTCAACCGTAATCTATCAAAAGGTAGCTCTCAATAGAATCGAAGTTAACATGTCTTATATACTAGTGAATGGGAGTTTAATAATTGTAGTAGTAGTGAAGCTACAATTACAAAGTGTTAATCAACTTATTATTATTAGCTATTGATCTCTATTTTCATTAAAATAAAGATCAAAATTCTCTCTCTTGGCAGTTTATAGCATCATAAATGCTTCTCCGAATGCAAAGTTTGTGCAAATGTTCTGTAGTAAGCAAATGTTTGTGTCTAAATCAATTAATAATTCTTTCGATATGGGAGGATTTGGATTTAACTAATTAAATTTGACGTTATTTTGATATATTATTCTTAACTAATTTTTTTTCCTATTTTATATTTGTAACATTAATGACGCTTTTAAGGCGAAATTTTGCAACTGTTAAGAAAACATAAACAACAACTTCCTTTCAAAAATAAAACTTTTATATTACGTTTAATTCAACAAAAAATCATTGACAAAGAGAATGTGCAGTCATTTAAACTACTTTAGTATTAATAAATCTTTTAAATTTCACTTATTTTTTAATCAATTAAAAATAAAGTTCCTTGAAATAAATTATTTGTTAATTAATCGCCGTTAAATATCACCATTTATTATTTTTTGCAAAGCCTCATAGAGTGCTTGCAAAGTGTTCCAAATTCGTTTATTGCTTGTTTCGTTGAAAATTGAATTGAAAGAACACACTTTATTATAAGGACTATAAAGTAGTAATAATATTAGATAGCGTCCTTTTTTAAGCTAAGGCGTTAAATTAAATCGGAAGTAGCAACCCAGAAGTCTTGTGACGAACCCTTAGCGTCACTTGTGCTTAGCATTATATGGTTCTCCATCCATAGATCAATTCATTTATGGATCAATATTGGAGCAAGTTGAACAATAATATCAATGCAAATTTGTCCCGACTGTAATAAGGAGTCAAACTAAACCATATAATTCTGCTAATTATTCTTATTTGGTCGTAAAAGAAACGTTCAGTCAATGCTGTGATAATTTTTTGTGATATTATGATTCAAAGTGTTGATGTATTATTGTTCATAATTGAACCATTCCTTCTTAAAATGCGTCCCAAAAACGACCAAAACTATTCAGAAAATCAATTAATAAAAGGGGGAAGTAAATAGAAATCTAAACGATGTGATTTATTTTCACCAAAATTCAAAATAAGCAAAAAATATAGTGCTGCTAAAGGAAAAAATATATATAAAATAAGATTTCCAAAAGAGCAACAGCTCTTAACGCTACACTGAGGCGAGATTTGAGCAAATATTTAAATTGGTCTGAGATGCAGCAGAATATCTTTATAACTTTAAACATTCAATTCATTTTGCCAACAGCGCCATCTGCTGACAATATGAAATTTTTTTTAATAAAATATATTTGGCTGCCTAAGTAAACATGGCAAGTCGTACATTATGCCTCCTTAAGATTTTGCTAACTGATTTTCTAAATCGTTGGACGTTTTTTTGAAAACCCAATAACAAATTTTCTACATATAAATACATTTAGTTAATGGTGTGATATAAAAAAAGTAAATGAAAGACTGAATTTCAAAGTGTCGTAAATTATTTTATTATTCATTTATAATAAAAGTTCTCAAAGAGAAAATTTTCTATTTACAAGAGATAAGCGCAAGTTGTAAGACTTGCATCTGTACATTATAATGTCATTTTAGTCAAAGGCTTCATCAGAATCGCCCTAAAATATTGCTTGACATATAATTAAAATAAATGCTTGCTCATTAAGAAAATTCAATGAAGGAAGTTTAATAGATTATAGCAATGGTTTTTAGTTTATCTTAGACATAAAATGATAAAACAACAAATCCATAAATAGTCATAAATTATTCATATTTATAATTTTCTACGATTAACGGATTTTTGTAGGTGTTATACAACTGGTTAATTCTTCTCCACCTTTGCATACCATAATTTTTACCTGCATTTTGAAATATTGAATGATTTCGGCAATAGATATATTATTTGATAATCAACGTTTGGTGCTTAATGCAACATAAGCTTTTACAAATTATTTCCAATGAAGTTTTCTGCATAAAATAATTTTCTTTTTATCTCGTTTTGAAAATTTTTTATCAACTAATTTTATAAAAAAATCCTATTAGATATATTACTAAATAATATAGAATCTAGAAAGATTATGATCTAGAAATTATATCTAATTAAGTAAATATTTTATATAAAATAAATTTATTTGATATTAGTGTGAAATATCAAAACATAAGAAAAAACATAGTTGGGACTGAATTTTTTTAAAACTTTGTAGTATCTCAAAATTTTCGATATTTTACTTCGGATAAATATTATTTAATGAAATTAGAAACATTTCACTCGTTTTTTGGGGGGTTCATTTTTATTTTAGTTTCTCTTAAATAAATGCCAAATGTTTGTTTTAAACTTTTTTTCCCTTTTAATAACTCAACTTTGATCCTAAATTGCATTTTTTGATTTAATAGCTAAGACTTTGTTCCATAACTAAAATGACAACTTTGCCTTACATACTGCCTTTTTTGTTTTTTAACTAATAAAGACTTATTAAGAAAATGTTTAGAAATTTGTAAAATAAACAAATATAAGAATAAACAAAGAAATAAATAAACAAATATATAAATAAATGTAAGAACAAATTAATTAATTAACAAAAATAAATACACTTATATGAACAAATATCAAAAAATAATATATTAATTTATAAAAATGAATAAATTAAATTAACAATCTTCAAGTTATTTTTTACCGAAATGAAATAGACTAATATAAAATTGATACGAAGCAAAAATGAAACACTTTACAGAGGAAATATAGGATGAAAAGGAGGCAATTAATGAAAAAAATCATCCTTTTAGAAGTTCTTAGAGAAAAGCAAAATTTTGAGACATTATAAAAGTAATGTAAAAACTGCTTTCAATTTATAGAAACATTACAACTTTCACTTTAACTTCATTTTCATTTACATGATTTTTATTATGATTTTTCATAAATTATCTTAACTGCTAAATAATTATCTCGTACAGAACTTTATAAATCCAGTCCCAAGAAAAGTAGAACATACACCGAGAAAAAATATGGTCAAAACTTCCAGAATATGGTAAAATTTAATGTATTTCAGGTTCTATGGGAGCACCAAAATGCTCGGTAATTTTTACAGAATCACTTTGATAATGATTTTTGGTAAAATTAACAATATAGTTCATTTTTGTAATATGTAATATAATTATGCAGTTTTATCATTATACCTGAGAGCATGGTATAAAAACCATTTTTTTCGGTTAAATTTACTTTTCAAATTTGTATTTTTTAGAGAATTGTGGGGTAATAAGACCATAATTTCTCGTGAACCGTTACCATATTACTGAAAAATTAC